TAACATAATATTTTTTTCACAAATATTAATAAGGGACATTGCCATCACATGCTACATATGTATATGTGTGGTGGACGCGAATTTGCTTTATAATTGAAATGAAAAATCTTTAGCGGCGTTAAGTTCACTTTTTTTGTAATGGGTAAAAAATGTTAAACTCGCGTCAGGACACGTGGACGTGACGTGACCACGTGACCACGTCTTTCTACGGCGCGGCGAAAATGTATGCCTGTCGTCTTTTTTTTTCCGTGCGGAAATCCCCTCGGATACCACCCGGTGGCATGTCGGACCTCGAACCGACTAAAACCGCACGACCGTCTCGGGTACTTAATAGCCGGGGGAACCAGGTATACCCTAGAAAGGAAGTCCCTGGTGCCCCGACGTACCTCGGGCCATCTACAACAAGTAGACGACCCCCCCCTGTGGGAAACCCCATGTTCCCTATGCTCCCTGGAAGCTAGCGCGCTTCGCAACGCTGCTCGCCGCCACCCTGGCCTGCTTCTGCTAGGGTGACAGAGGTCTGTTCTGCAACCTCCGGCGTCTGAGTCGCCTGCGGTACCTGGCCCGTTCCCGGGCCTGGCGAGCCGTGAGAGTTCTAAACCTCTCCCAGTCCCGCTCCGCCGTCTCGGCAGAGTTCCACGCACTCGCTCCGCACGATAGCCGCGATCAGACTATCGAGCGAGAGAGCTCCCACTCCGATGGCCGCCACGAGGTCTCGCCTCTGCTCAACCCACGCTGGGCACCTCCGCCAGCGTGTGGAGAGCCGTGTCCACGGTCTGGCCATCGCAGTGGTGGCACTCAGGCTTTGAGCTCCTTGCGGATCAGACACAGGTGATCCTCGAAACATCCTTTCCCAGTGATCACCTGCGTCAGTCGGTATGAGAGGGTCCCGTGACGCCTCTCGAGCCAATCCTCCATAACGGCTCTTACCGCCGCGATGACGGCGTGTCCGGCGCTCGGTTGCCCGAGTCCGCTTCCCTCCACTCCCCTATGATAACCTGGCGGAGTTGGTATTTCCGGTCATCGATTTCTCGACAACCGACCCAACTCCCGCGCCAGTGGCCGCAACCACTGATACAGAGCCGCTGTATGCCTGCGCCTGCTTGTTCGTTTAGGCGGCGCAGGGCGCTTGCGCGAATGTTCGTGTGTGTTTATGTTACCACGTGCCACGCGCATTCCATGGAGGGTAACAGCGTCTGGATAAATTGTCATGTTTGTGTACGATAGCGCAATAAATAAATATTGTATTCTACCACATAAATGAAAGGTACTTTTATACTGATAATTAAAGCAATTCGTGCAAAATTATTAACAAACCATTCCAAAATATCAAAAAATGCACAGCGTTAATATTCAAGTTTTCACTTCTGCTGGACCCGTCGTTTCTTTTTTGTGGTCTTCGCCCGTTGATGTCCTTGTCCGGATGATGTCACAGAACGGACATATAGGTACACGATACCGGCCTATTAAAGTTGCTGCAGTTTGTCCTTTATTCCCCATCTAGCTTCCTCGGGGTTAAAGTTTTCCTTGAGTCGTTTGTCAGAAATGGCCAAAATAAAATTTGCAAAACAGTCAGGGAGAGCGATAATTTTTACAGTTCAGTATGTACATAAGATAAGAAAATAAATAGTAAAATGAAACCAAATTAATACTATCACTATCAATTCAAAAAGGATTGAATTGAATTCATTTTAAATTCTTCTTTGAGAATTAATTTATTTGGGGTTGGCGTAAATGTTCTTTTTCCATTCTCACTAACTCTATCATTACATTCGACAGCTCACTGCTCACTCCCTTTCTAGCCATAACCTCTTTAACGTAGTCCTATTTTATTACAAAAAGTTTTTAACTTTTTCTTTCATGTGAATATATGGAATTTAAACACGTTAATTGTACATTAAATATATGTTAAAATAAAGATAATATTTACTACAAAACATATGTAGGGAATATTAGTTTAATTCATTTAATGTAAAAGCAACTTCGTCTGTTTGTCTGGTCCTCTGTAAGATTTGACGCCTATTCTACGCAGGCGCGGTCTCAGACATCAGATATCTTTATTCTAGCTTTCAAGTCGTAGCTGCCAGTGGTGCGCTAACCTAACAATTGCCTTGTAAGAATAATCTACACACATGTATTTACAATATGCATCTATAATATAAGTAGATAACTATATATCTATAACAAACCAGTTATTGCTATAGTTAAATGAACAGAGTAGCGACCAACCTCCTCATAGACATAAAAACCAGTTTATCTGACTACTTCGGTGTATTAGCGCATGAATATTATTTGTATATTATAAGTTTAACAATATTGTAAGGTTCCGTACCACACTAATTTTATAATTATTCGCTATCCTAATACCTCAAATCCGATATAATCCTCACGATACCTTGTGTAACAGAAACAATAACATATGTCATGTTTCACTTTATGTAAGAAGAACATTATGAATTCTTTCCTCATCTACTAGGTCTAGCAATTTGTTGACTTTTTAAATAGAAACGTACAACGTATAATTCAATTCATAACTTTCTTCCGGTGACGAATAAGTCTGCCAGAGAATAAGCGATAACCCATGTAGAAAACAAATGATATTTAGGACTCATACACAACACGTGTGTCAGGCTGTGGTTTGTAAGACAATAACATTACAAAATAGGAAAGATTTCCTGTCTCACAAAACAACGACCCAATCTATCCGACCTCTTTCAGGTCGACGTTAGACATAACCGGCACCACATAGAAGCTGGCAATTTTAGGATGTCAACCTAATTTATTTCTGAACGTATCAGTAATATGTCACTAATAATTTTTGAAAGCTGTCTTTCTGTATTTCTTTACCACAATTCACTTCCCAAGCTCCCTGTAATATCAAACTCACAATTTTTACATATCTAGAATCATCTATATCGAAATAAGGGAATAATTACATTAAAAAAATTGAAAAGTCATAAAGGTGAATTAACGTATTACAAGTTTGATAAACAGCCTACCTGGATGTCTCTATAGTTTTACCTTCAGTATACTCATGTAATTGTGTAATTATATACAAACATTTTTTAAATACCATACGGAGTATACTTTATATTCCCACATAAATCCTTTAGCAGCTCCGTTAAAATGATATACAAATATAAACGCAAAATATTTAGTTGATCCGCTAAAAGGGATCTCACAATTAACAATTGCAGCGGAACCTTAATAAAAGAAGGAAAAAACGGAGCAAAAAATGAAGAGTCTAATAAACATTTGATCCTTCATGAAGTTATGACATAAGCTAGTGTGTATATAAGCTGGGTCGGTGTTGAGTTCGGCACAGTACAATATGGCTAAGCTTACACTACTAGCGTTCGCCTTAGGGCTCGCCGTCTGCTGCGCAGCCTCAGGTTTGTTTACCAACAATACTTTTTATTAAAGTGGTTAATTTTTAACATTGTGTGTCCTTTTGTATTGTATTTGATTATTGATGATTTTGAACAATATTAGTTAAAGTAAGACAGTAGTTAGTAGTAAGCCATAAACTTTCACTTCTTGACCAAATATATCGTACATGTTATGAGATGGAGACCTAAATATTTTTAAAAGCAAACATGCAAAAATAGTTCTTTCAATTTTTGACTTTATTTTCATATTTTCACACAGTTTTCTGATCAAGGCCATGGGACGTGTAGGAGAGCCGCAAGCAAAGAGAGCATATATTTATTTTTATAGAGACAGATTTTTCATTCAAACTGTTTGTCTTTTCAGCTGAGCACCACCGAGTTCGTCGCGGCTACGGCGGTGGGGGCTCAAGTGGTGGTGGTGGTCAAGGAGGCACGGTTGGCGGTGGCGGCCATGGTGGTGGTGGCGGCCACGGTGGTGGTAGCGGCGGCGGCTTCGGCAGCGGCGGTGGTTTCGGCGGAGGCCACGGAGGCTGGTGGCAGCCATGGCGGTGGTGGGCAGCCAGTGACGGTGGTGGCAGCCATGGCGGTGGATTAGGGCGTGCGGAAGCGGCCGGTGGTGGCGGCCACGGAGGCGGCGGTGGCGGCGGCCAAGGTGGTGGCAAGTCACGGCGGTGGTAGCCACGGAGGTGGTCTAGGCGGAGGGAAACGGCGGCTGGTTTCGGCGGCGGCCATGGAAATCATGGAGGCCATGGAGGAAGCAGTGGTGGTAGCCACGGAGGGATCCTACGGCGCAAGTCACGGAGGTGGCTATGGTGGAGGATCCGGAGGTGGCCATGGTCATGGATCCGGAGGGTGGCTACGGAAAAATAAGAGTAAGTTAAACTATCCCCATTGAATTGATGCCACCTAGATTTTAGCGTTGCATTATTAGCTTTTTAGTGTGGATAAAAAGGGAAAAGGTTTAAATGTAAAACTTTTACGATCAATGATTAATTTTCATTGTCATAACGTAATTGCATTATATACTTTTGAGTAACGTGATTGTTTTAATTCCCGTAAACATAATAAATCAATTAGCCTGCACTCATGTGACAATATTTATTGGGTTTAAATTCCCCGATAAGCGTTTACCATCAAGCAGGCTATGTGTTTGTAACTGGCAGTATCTTACTGTGTAAATATTCTGATTAAAATTTAATTAGCGATCTAAATATGTCCTATAGTGTAATATTATTATTACCTTTGCATTTCCTATTTCCAAGGCGTAATGCCTGTGTATCATGAGATTATTTATATAAGTACCGTTTTTTTTCTTTGTTCCGAGACGTTAAGACTAGGCTCCTGAAAGTGCAATATAAGATTAAAGATCAAAAGCTCAATGTGATAAACTAACATACTATTGTCGTCATATGTATCAAATACATATCTATTGTTAGCTAATGCAAATATATAATTTTAAATGAACGAATTGTTTCTTTCCGATCACCATATTTTACTTCTTCAATAGGACTATATCCTGTGTCGCGGTGAACTTTACAAACATACATGAAACGAACACAAAGAACACCTCAGAATATCAATTTTCCAGATTACACAAAGTGTCGTTCCCATATCGGCATCGTACCCACAACACTCAGCGTAGTGGTAGCGGGCGTGGTGTACCGCTGAAACCACGACGCCATCGGTGCAAACAAAGCCACAAAGTTCAAACCTACAATATGGAAGATAACATAACTAATGCTTGTTATCACACACAGATGCAGTTAGGAACGGAGACTCTAGTATTTTCAAAATGAACTGTCTATCCAATCGAAAATAATATCGACTGCAGTGACTTATCAGACCGCATAATGCTTGCAGTTCCTCGCAAGCCGCCTAGCCATCCCTTTACTAGAACTTTCTGCCTACAACTGGCAAGAACTAATTTAGGACTAAACTCTCCTTTGGTACGTGCATGTCGCAAAATTTTAAATTTAA